TTCGCAGTACAGATAGTGCCGGTGCTGCCGGCGTAAGAAGTAAATCACAAAAATGGAAATCCACGATATCGGATTGGAATCAATATTGAATGCAGATTGAATCCCAGGCTCTCTCCCTCCTTCCTCCCCCTTTTTTTCCCTTCCGCGCGTCTCCAACCGTGCGAGGCCGCGGCAGGGCGAGAAGGTGCGGAGTGACGGCTTCCATTAGGAAAAAGTGACTTACGGCGCCGATCGACAACGAAAGGCACTTTTCGTCCTGCTGAAATGTCAGGTCAGTTCGCGAAAATTTTATGCGTAACGAAGGTTACCACCTGACACGACTACCGAATCGAGGATGTTAGTGACGTCAGCCGGCGCTAAAGGGACAATGTGACGCCGGTTGATCCGTACGTCATTTGTTTATAAATTTATCACGAGTGTGCATTCACTCTTCGTACACCACTCACGTTTCGATCATACCATCAGGCTCTTTTTCGTAGCCGCTCTTAAAGCGTATCAGTTGAATAAAAAGATCCGATCGGGAGAGAAGAGCTTCGAAAAAATGCCAAGATTTTTGTAGATTATTCGACGTCAAAAAAAAATAAAACATATTAATTCCCCCCCCCGGCACACCGTGACAGTGTATGTGGCGCGTGATCAGGAGAGCCTGAGGGGATCCCGTCTCCTAACGGTCCAATGCCCGGCATTACTATTTGATGAGATAAAAAGCGCCGCGGTGGCCTCGGCTCGTGAATTTTTAAGGGCGCCTCGCAGGTACCGTTACGTTCTTGGAGTTTCCGAGGTTAGGGGGTGTCGATACCCCGGGGATGCCACAGTAGTCTTCTGTCTTTAATATTTTAGCACGGTAAATTATACGATTCCTCATCCGCCTCCGTGCATACGCTGATCTTCCACTTTCTCCGTCTCCCTCTTCCTCCGACGTTGGTAAGAACTTTGATCCGCGTAGATGTTTTTATATTTGCTGCCAGAAAGGCGGTGTTCATAAAATATATACTTTTTCTTTTATTCAACCGTGATAATCTCTTTAGGTTGCCAGTAATAAATAACAGTGAATAAGTTTAGTCGACCTTAACTGGCGCGTTTAACAAAATAAAATAAAAAGTCATTCCCCGGCCTTGGTAGACAGAGCACATATTTTATCTTCGTGCCTGTTAATTTTATAATCACGACTCAACTCCTTTGGATTTGTATCGTTCAACTGCATATTGCATTGGCCTGATTAATTTTAAGAATGTGCTGGAAAAGGACCTAAAACCCCTGGTCGAAACGTCGCGCTGTATATCTTCTTATTTTATTTTATTAAACACGTGCCAGTTAAGGTCGACTAAACTTATTCATTTTTTTTATTATTTAAGTAGAAAGATAGCGTATCTAATATCACCCCTAAAGATTGCAGCGAAAACTCGTAACGTTGCTGTTAAAGCAAACTACAAAGATTAGTTGAGCGATTCACTCGTGATATCTCGGAATGAGCCATGCTTGAGGATAATTACAACCGGTTTGCGTGTTTTCAATGCTACGTTTATAATCGCTCGGCGCCAGTACCATTGGAAGCGGTAAAGCTGAAAAGGCGAAAATCAACGGCGGGATCGACAAAGGCTGAGACACGCGAGTGGTATAGTACGTCTTCGCTTCGTGGAAGCTAATCATGCGCGAACCGTCCCCGGTGCTGCAGAAATGCATACGTGCGCGCACACAGAAATTTTCAACGAGCATGAATTTGCGACGATGATTAAGCCCGGGGTTTAATGAAGAAAGAAAACCGACGGGCGAGCTTCTTTGTCGCGATACCTTGCCAAGAATTTAATCAACTCGGCCCGAATATCGAAAGTCTGAAGCTCGTGCACTCCAGTGATTCGCGTATTCCAGTGTAAGCCTTCCAACGGGACGAGGGAGGCGAATGAGAAAGGCTTCCATACACGAGTCTGGCCGAAATGGGACGTAAACGTGCTTCAGACGGCGTCTTTTTCTCGAGACGACTTCGAGACATTGGTCTCGGGGACTTTGGTGTTACTTGGTCGATCGACTCGCGAATTTTCCAACCATTATTGAAATTGTTGCAAACACACGGCCCCGTGCTTCAAGGTAGTAACGTAGAACGGATGCGTTAATGAAAGGGGTTAATGTGACATCCAGACCTTGTCGCGGGGATGACAGGGGAAAATCCGCGACAGCCAGATTCCCGGAGTTTGGAGTAGGGCACACCGGCAGGCGAGAGGTGATGGGAGATATTTCTGTTTAATAGTCGGCGTATCACGCCGGTAATGGAAGTCGAGGCGTTTGCATGCCGGGAGGCACGCTCCGGTGCTATAAAGTTAATGGCGTCGTAGGCGGCGCGATAAAATGATGCATCGCGGCTTGGCGACAATATTATTGCCGACAGCTGCACACCTACCCGTGTACCCTTCCAGATCTGTAGCGCGCGAATTGATAAGTCACGAAGAAGCATGTACACGTGTTTTTTTTTTCTTCACGATGTATCCCGCTCCAATTGGATCAAGACGCTTACGATCGTGTTTTAAGGCCTGCGTCCACGGTGCTAGAACTTGGTCCAAGTCCTTGTTCCGAGAAATGTGTGGCCAATCCACTTGCAGCTTTTATGGAATAGCTGCAAGTTGATTGGCTACACATTTCTCCAAACTAAAACTTGGACCAAGTTCTAGCATCGCGGAACAATTTCGACGAGAATAAGATCATAAAGCCTAATCTACAATGTGCTTTTTGCGTCTGGAAACAAAGCGTTTTGATTTGCTTCTATAAAACCGAATGTTTCTAGACGCAAAGAGCACACAGTAGATTAGGCGTAACGATCACACGCGTGATCATACGCGAGTATATTAATGCCGTCAGTTACGATTCTTAATTAAAAGCGAATGCTCGAAGTCAAAATCCTTGAAAAGGGTTTAGAAGTGGCATTACACGTTGTAACGTCAGTGTGTTCCGCGGGAGAATGCGAGGCTGAAAGGCTTTCTCATTCTCTCTCTCTCTCTCTCTCTTTCTATCTTTTCGCCTCCGCCGCAAGTTTCTCCGTTCGCCGACTGCCTTCCGCTATTTCTCGCCATCTTCGTGCTCCCATCTCCGTGGCGAGCTTACGGACGGATTGTAATGATTAGTATAACGAGGAGATCCGCGGGAGGGGCTTACGGGTAAGCGCGGATACCGGGAATTGCTTCGCTTTTAATTACCGCCGAGCTGCCGGCTGTGTACACCGACGCCTTAATGCACTGCGGTGCTTAACGAGTAATACGTCGTTATCAACGCCCATGCGGCCGGCGCGGCGCGGCGCGGCGCGCGGAAGGCTCGGATCGTTAAATAATTTTAACGGTTCTCCAAGGTGGAACTCGCGTCCGGGGCCAATCCCGGATCTTCTCGGGGCGAGGGAGGCCAATAGTCGGATCGAACACGGATCGATGGAGGCTATCGTCAAATCGCGAGGAACAAGGCCGAGGCACGAGTCAGACGGAATAAGACGGCCGCGAATAGGTCCGTTATCACCCGGCGCTGTTATTCCGTGTGTAACGTACACGCTCATCATCGGCGACTCCGAGTCGAAGTTACCGCGGGTTCGCGCTTGCTCGCTTGCTCGCGCGGAGCCAGACGCGTCGCTGTTTGTAAGTGGATTACGCTTATAATGGGGCATTCCAAGTCCGTTCTGAATATTGCGAGCGTGTATATACGCCGCGTATGTACGCCGGGGTAAATCATGTTCGTATCCACTTCAACCGCGTCGCCTGGATTCTCGCCAACGTACATCCTACCCGACAAATTGTGCATAGGATGTGACTTTCGGAGTTCAGCGAATCGCATGTAGAAACAATATTGTATATTTATCTGCTCCGCAATGCGGGGATTTCAATGCGTTACGGTTGGCGCGGACTGTCGCGGAGTTCATTCACTTTCGGAGCGCGAAATTGCGAACGACACGGCGACGTTTTCTCGGTTCGCCGTCCGCGACGCAACCGCTCGGAGTATCTCTCGAGGACGGAGGTGAATCACGGATTCTGATTTTGTGGCCTCATGGAAACTGCTCTGTGATTTAACGTCCATCGTCCGCTCCGCCGTCCAGTGGCCACTCGTTCGGCGATTCTTTCGGTAATTTATTGGTCGTAGATCAACGTCGGGAAACGCTGTTACGACTCACCCTTACGTACGGCCGGGACAATGTCGAGCATCGACGCCATTTCTGGCCGTGACACTCCCGTGGTGCGGCACGCGATGTCCGCAGGAGATCGATCGTTAGGTCCGACGCGTTTCGGACGATTGACCTTGCAAACGAACCACTTCCTGTGCCACGATCGTATTCCGCTGACACACACACACACACACACATACACATATATGGTACATACACACAGCAGCAGCACAATGTCGGGGACAGACCGTTGCACCGCGTGACCGTCGCAACAAGCGCACATTTGCGAAGCTCATTTTTCTTAAGTGTTTTCACGTAAGAGCACGGATTACGTTTCGAAATAAGAAACCTCGCTGCTATGAGAGAGACAGAGTCGTATCCGGAACAACCAGGGACGCATTTTAAAGTAAAGAGAGACCCAAGTTTCGTTATCTTTTTCCGGCGTGAAAATCTTCTCTTTAAACCCTGAATATTGACCTTATTCCGGCGCGTTTCCACCGTCTTTTTAGCCACATTACGAGTGGCTGCTGTGCAACACAGGGCTTGCAAAATGTGAAGTATGCACTTCCGACACTTCTCGGAAGGTCGAGCGTGTCGAGCGACCGTTCGTAAGAAAGGAGCACTCACAAAGAAAAGCGGTCCTGCAGAATTCCCTCGAAAGATGTATAATTATGGGGTCGCTTTTGGGGAAATAGAATTTCCTTTGTCTTTCGGCTACGAAATGCTCGACTTTTTCGGGCTTTCGCAAATATATCACGACAAATGTCGTGCCTGCACATGCGCGCGTGATCCCCCGAAGGCCCCGCAATAATTTAATTTTAATTTACAATGCGATGTGACGTAATTTATGTTTTCCTCCTTGTTGCAGAGAGACGCTCTAAATCTGGAACCCAGCAACGTGGCGAATTGCGTGTCAAAAGGCAAATCAGAGGTAGGTTTCTTTTCCCACAGTTCGGCAGGCGCTCTCCTTTGCACCGCGCGCCGTCTTTGAGACGAATTTTAATTCCGGTACCGAGAAGCTGGCCTGAGAGCACTATGAAACAAGAACGCCAAAGAATTGTGATTGCAGAAAAAGACGTCGAACGTAACGTCGGGGAGGAAAGAAGTCCCGAATACAGCCGACGTGCTGTAAAATAAAAGGACCAGTTTCTTTGAAGGCGCGCCGCGGCGCAACGAAAGACGCGAGCTCGCTTTTTAATAGACACTGCGGTGTCGCGCGGATCCGCGAGAGAATGTATCTCATTTGTATCTTTAGCGCAAAGGGATCTTGCCGTGGCACGCTCTTCTTTCCGAATAATCTGCACGCAGAGCTTTTACCGCCCCACGTCTTCATTCCTGAATTAATGCACAAGTATATTTAAAGTTTGGGCGATCTCTTTCTTAATTTTATCGACTTTAATCAGATAAGTTTTAATAAACTTTAAATTATAAATATTGCACAAGAGGAGCGTCAAGAAGGGTCTTGCGCGCGACGAGTTTTCCCCGAATCGCCGTCGTCGGCGAAAATGAAAATTAACCATGGAACTCTGATTTTTTAACGCGCGTCCATTTTTATTCATACCTCGCAATCGCGATGCCACGGCCGCAGCGATAAAACGGGCACGATCGCGTTCCGCCTCGTGCACGCGCGCGCACCCGCGCTTATCACAGCTTCATTCGTATGCACCGTGTACGCGTCGTCGTCGAGGTGTAAGGTCCACGCAAATATTCCCTACGTGACGACAAAGCCAATTCATTTCCTGTGCACCGATTCGCCGCGAAATACGCGCGCGACGTGATCGACCGCGACGATTCCGCCGCGCACGCGACACGATCTTTCGCTTTCCCGAAGAGTCCGAAGGAAGCGCGTTAGCATATTGAAGAACCCGTTTACGCGCGACATGTACCGCGCCTGCAACGATTTTCTCGATCGTCAACGCCAGTCGCACCGCCGAATTTAATTTTTCCCCCCCGACCTTTCTCTGTTTCCAGCATTTCGACTGCCGAAACCATATAAGAGTCATCCAGCCGATGGCAGACGGCAATCGGCTTTACATGTGTGGTACGAACGCGCACGCACCCAAGGACTGGGTGATTTACGTAAGTTTTCAGTGTTATTTTTCACGTAGACAATGTATGAAGCGCGCATAAGTAAGGAATTTTATGCGTAACGCGTATCTTCAACTTCTCAGTTTACGACATGAGCAATTGTTTTCGTTGTTTTTTTCAATGGCAGGATTTTGAAACAAATACTGCATTGCTTTCTCGCATCATTCAATTCTCTCTTTTATGCCTTACAAATTGCAATGTATACTAAATAAATTCGTTAAATTTGATTTTGTAATAGGCGACAGTTTGTGATTGGATTGCGAAATTGTTAAAAACGGCGATTGGCCTGGCAAAGAGCTGCAAAAAAATGCACATGTACGTTTAAACGTCCGCTGTCATTTGTTTATTGAAAATTGAAAATGCGAAACGATGTTAAATACATCCGCAACCCCCCTTGAAATGTATTACGGATTCAGCGTGATATGCGCAACGCACACCGATTTGTGCTGCTTTACGCTTAATTTAATTAATTAATAACAGAACGCGAGGAGGCATCTGAAAATAATATCGTTAATTAATTTTCGCGTTACGAATAAATTTCGCCGCCACTCACGCATTCCTCGGTACGTTCCAATTTAATTTCCGTCCAAATATTTAAAGCCATATAATGAATAATGCTGTTATTAATGGAAATTTACATGCATTATCGCAATAGTAGAAATCCGCACGATGTGATTTGCAAAGTTTCGCAAAGTGCATCAAAGCGGGCGGGCGGGCAGATGAATGAATCTTGCGCTTAAGTACCCGTGTAACAACACGACAAAAGATACAGCAGTTTCGCTTTGCTAAACATTACGAGTCCCGGGTGTACCGTAACATCTCGCGCAATAATAACATCCAGCCACTTGCCTAAACTACTGCTGGAAATTATAGCTACTAAATAAAGTCAAATTATATCAAGACGTTCGGTGCCGAATCTTACTAATATAACAGCGTGCGTTCGTTTTATAGAAAATCTCATGAATTCATAAAACGCGCTCCAGGATTATCATTATTTTTTCACCTACAAATTCATTTTAACCACGTTGAAATCGATATCTTTTTTTTTTAATTCAATTAAACCTTACCCCATTTTATAATTTTATCTTCCGCAAAGAGAAAAACTTCTTTCAGCTCGCCCCTACTGTTACCTCGATGTCTTATTGTCCGTGAATAATCTGGCCACGTCCCCCTCCAAATGATGCTTTTTTTTGCAGAGCAATCTGACTCACTTACCGCGCCACGAGTTCGTCCCGGGGGTGGGAATGGGCATCGCGAAGTGCCCTTATGACCCTGCGGACAATTCGACGGCGGTCTGGGTCGAGAAGGGCAATCCCGGAGACTTGCCAGCTCTTTATTCGGGCACCAACGCCGAGTTCACCAAAGCCGATACCGTAATCTTCCGCACGGATCTCTACAATCTGACTACCGGTCGCAAGGCGTTCAGCTTCAAGAGGACACTCAAATACGACTCCAAGTGGCTCGACAGTGAGTACACTTTTCGCCAACGACATCATTAGCTGAAAGCTTAGTTAAACTCGGTAGAATCAACTTGATCGAAGGTGATATTTAATGACTTTATAATATCTCGGTGTGCACTTGCATATTCGTGGCAGTATCTTTCGAACGCGCCTAGTATTTTCTGTAATTACGTTCTCCCCTATGTGCGGATATCGATCGCCACATCCACCGTTGCCAGACATACTTAGATCTCCGCACATCACAGAGGAACCTCCGCTCGGAGCTTGATAATTACCGCGTGTCGAGGCAACAATGAAATTTCCATTAGGCTTAGAGCGCACAGTATTAACGGGAAGAGGGGGACGTTCTTGATCGGCTAAAAAGCGAAATAGGTCTTCCTGAAGAAACCGCGTAGGAAGGGCGCTGCTTAGAAAACAGGCGGGGGAGTGCTTTGAAGTAGGACCCCAGTGTCAAGCCGGGAACACGCCTCGGGTTCAAATGGATGCGAATAAACTGCCCCGCCTATTTTCCGAGGGTACCATCGCTTTCCTCGCCGACGACGAGGACTCGCGCCGGAGGAGCACGGGAACGGAGGCGGCGGGGGTAGGTTACGAGTGGAATTATAGGAGTTTGGAGGGCGATGTCGGTGCTAGGCTCGCTATCGGACCGGTTAGAGAGGGTGCCGGATCTCTCTCTCTCTCTCACTCTCTCTCCCCCCTTCCTCCCTCTTCCCTGTCTAGTTCTCCTTCTTCCTCTACAAACGGGGTAATAAAATAACACCCCGACGCGATCTTCCTCGTCCTAAACGCTGCGTTCTCGACGAAAGTGCCCTCTCCTTTTTCTCGAAAAAGGAGAGAAAGCGAGCCAACTGAAGAAGTTAAAGTTTTCCCGCCCCGTCCGCCGGAAACCGCTCTCTCGCTCCCGTTCCACCCTCACCTCGCCTCGGTCCCGCGTAGTTCGGAGGCTCGAGCTTTAATCAGTTTTACCGGCTCTCTGATTCGTCGGCTGGGATTATTGCGATCCTCTCGATTTTTCGTTATCGGGGCGCGGAACGTGAGAGGCGCGGGCAAGAGCGGCCCGGCAAGGAAATTGGAAAATGTAGATTAGGACGTGCGTCGAATATAGACACACAATCCGACATGGAATTTAATAGCGTAACTCGCGGGAGGCAGGGAGGCGCGGAGCGCGCTGATTTGCGATGATCAAGTGTAAATAGAATCCGATTCGTTAGGTTCGTCGATCGTGACGGGACACGAGGAGTACGTCGAAAATTTAGTTATACGAGCGTTTAATATCGAAATCCTACTCTATCCTTTGACTGTCTACGTTTTAAAATGCCCGCCGAGGAAGTCCCGTTCCACAAATAGTTTCCAGTTTCCATTGGATATTATTCGTTCGTTAGTCGATCGAGTCAAATACAGGGAGTATCTAAATTTCCGCCGAACGAAATTTCGATTTATTGTCAGAATTTAAGGAAAAAAAAATTGCTCTCTTGCGACCGCGGTAAGGAAATTAATTGCCCGAATAAGAATTAATTTGAACCCCGTCCGCGACACCGCAATCCTTTCGCAGCGAGCGTTGACGCGCGACATACCGGTCCGGAATAATGGCGCAGGACGGTTAGTTGGCTGCTTTGTATTTCTCGAGGGGGCCGCTTCCGCTTTTCCTCATTCTGTCGAAGCGTGCCGCCACTCGAGCCTGCTCCTTCAGCCGCCGTTGTCGGGTAGGAAGGTCGCGATATCGGAGCGGCAAAAGTCGGGGGAGATGGGCGGACGACTTTGTCCCACTTTGTATCCTTCGCGCCCTCCCGCGGGATGCATGATTAGCCATTTGTTTCGTCGTTTAATTTCGTGCCGGCAGCCCTTTCGCTACACTCTCTCCCTCTCTCGCTCTTTCTCGTCTCTGCCTACTCCTCCTCTGAAGCTGCCGGGAGCCACCTCCGTTCAGACCCTACAAGCGAGACTACCGAGCGTCACCATCAAGGACCATTCTCCGCATCGAGTTTGTCTATTAACAGAGGCGTTGATTAAAAGCAGGCGAGAGTCCCGGAAGAGACGGATGGGCTCCACGCGCGCTCCTCGTATAATCTTCGCGACTCTCCAACTCCTCCTCCTCCTCCTCCTCCTCGTCCTCGTCCTCCCTTCTCTCGCAGCATCTCTTTCTCGCTCCTCCAGTCTACTCGGCGGCACGGCGAGACGCAATGAAGACTGATGCGGTTCGTGGTGTGAGGTCATGATAAGGAAAACCGGCACCGGGAGGGTAAATCGCGGACGGAAAGGGAGACGAAGAAAAATAGAGAGTAGAACGCAGTGGACTTAACAAGCTCTGAATAACTAGCTGACGAACGTCTACTTTCACGGATCCTCGCGCGTGCGGAATGACGCTCGAACATTAGCGTACAACCGTCTTCCTATTCGAACATCCGCTACATTTAAAACGCAAAGTCTTTTTTCGTCGCGATATAACGAGGCGCTCTTCTTCTCCAAGCGTAATGGCAACAGCGAGCACTTTCAATATTCGAACCCTGTCGCACGTTACTCGTCACGAGCGTCCGGATACGCAATCAAAAGTCATCTCGCTATGAAACGCTTCCGCGTCTCCTCCTCGGTAAATTATTTCTCTCCTTCTGCTCCTTGTGGCCCGCGTCTCCGTCTATCTACATCGGGCCTGTACCCGCCCCAATATATCAAACTTCCGCCGTCGAAGCGTCAGACAATCGATTTAATCGCTGAACCGTGAGGGAGATTGCGGCGACCTCCAGCCGAGTGCCGTAATGTAAAACCGACGAGAGAGAGGCCCGGGCTCTGGCGACGGCGACGCGATTCGAACGCGGAAAAATTCCATTTTCTTTGCCATTTTCTCGCGTCACCAAACTCCGACTTGGTCGTTACACGGAATAAATCAGTTTCCTCGGCACAACAGGCAATTACACCAAGATTAAACCACAACGCTTGCGCCGAGCTGCATCGCGAGTGACGGCGAATATTCGCGCAATTTGTGTCGCGGCGCGTATCGGACCTGGATCTGCGTTTTAGCCAGACCGCGAGTACACGGAAATCAGCGAGGCAAGCTGTAGGCTGATTCGTAGGAAATTATTTCCAACCGAGATGAGTTTGAGTGATAACTACGATATTTCTCAACCGAGGCCCCGGAATTGCTCGCCGTCTGTCGGAGCTCACGAATCGTTACGAAGTTATTTCGGACTCTTTCTCCGCGCAACTTATCTCATTCGAAGATGATACCGAACTCTTATAACTCAACTACGCTAGGTGCAATGATGAAGCCGACTCAATAGCGCTTCTCACGTCGCTGCAACTTTTCCAGCTGGATAAATTGCGATTTAATTTCGATTATTTATGCAGTTGACGAGACCAACTTTTAAGGAACTCGTTGGCAATTAATTCTGCAAACGGCAAAATCTTCTTCTTTTTTTCCATTCAATTTAATTTCTTTCCCAATTACCACGACATTTTCGAGGGATGCAATCAAAGCGCATTGTCTCTAATCTAGCACCGCTATATAATCCCGTTTTTCACTCTCCCTTTCTCTCGCTCGCTCGCTCCCGAAACGGGCGCAGAATAATATCGTTGCCCGCGGTTAAACGGAATTCGGGGGAGATTATTGTCCACGTCTGGACGCAGGTGGAGCAGTCCCGGCGATGAAAGTTTTTACGCGTGGAATCCCGACGCAGGGACATCTTTGCCCGCACCACCCGCGGCAAATACTCGATTCGCGATTATTATTGTGCGCGATTATTGCGGAGTATCTACGCAAACTATCTGCTCTAGATGCAGTTATTTTGCACGAGGTAGACGCTAACGGCTAGATTACGCGAGCGTATAAGCTCGCCGGAATATTCCGGTTGAGCAGTTTTGCGACTGCGAAATATCGTCTCGACGAGGAAAACCGTACGTGGAATTGCGAATTGAAACGGATTCCGGAGGCGCCCGAAAGGACCGGGGGATTAACGAGGAGGTAATGTTACGCCTCTTTGTCTTTTTCAGAGCCGAATTTCGTGGGTTCGTACGACATCGGCAGCCACGTGTTCTTCTTTTTCCGCGAGACCGCGGTCGAATACATAAACTGCGGTAAAAGTGTGTACTCCCGCGTGGCGAGAGTTTGCAAGAGGGACACCGGCGGTAAAAATATACTCATGCAGAATTGGGCCACGTACCTCAAGGCCAGATTGAATTGCTCGATACCCGGCGAGTTCCCGTTTTATTTCAACGAAATACGTGAGTATCGGCTCGTTGTGTAACACGACATGTACATTTTTGCCGCGTGACATTTTTTTATATAGCAATGAATTTATATTTATCTCTCTATTTTTTTGCCGTGCTTAAAATTCATTATTTTTCAAGATATTAATCGTTATTTTTCTCTCTAATAAAAATGTCGACATCCAATGATACAAAATCCTTGTCTTTGACGAGGGGAAAAGCTATTTTCGCCACTGTCACGTTCACGTTCCAATCGGTATAATCTGACGACGTATAATTACATTGTTGCACCGTTGCTGTTGCTCAGAGAGCATTTACAAGGTACCGGGTGACGATACGCATTTCTATGGTACCTTCACCACATCGACGAACGGGCTAATGGGCTCCGCGATATGTTCCTTCCACATTGACGCCATCCAAGAGGCTTTCCGCGGAAAGTTCAAAGAGCAAGCGACCAGCAGTAGCGCGTGGCTACCGGTCTTATCTAACAAGGTTCCGGAACCGCGCCCGGGCCAATGTGTTAACGACACGGAAACGTTGCCGGACACCGTCCTGAATTTCATAAGGTCCCACCCGCTGATGGACTCCGCGATCTCGCACGAGAACGAGAAGCCGGTCTTCTACAAGCGGGACGTCATGCTCACGCGATTGGTCGTCGATAAGCTGCGCATCGACTTCGTGGGCAGCGATTTGGATTACACAGTCTACTACGCCGGCTCTAGTAAGCAAACTACACTCGTCACGATGAATATAAACGCGATAGCTTATTGTCCCCCCCCGATGAAAATGCGTGAGCACGTGCCTCTCGTCGCGTGTTACAGGCGACGGCCGCGTTCACAAGGTTGTACAGTGGATGGACAGTAACGGCGAGTCCCAGTCGATCTTGCTGGACGTTTTCGATGTCACGCCGGGCGAGCCGATACAGGCGATGGAGATCTCAAAAGAGCACAAGGCTCTCTACGTAGCGTCGGATCATCGGATAAAGCAGATCGATCTTGTGATGTGCACTCGACGGTACGACAATTGCCTGCGATGCGTCCACGATCCGTACTGCGGATGGGATAAGGACACAAACATGTGTAAACCCTACGAACCAGGGTAAGTGCTCATCAACACAAACACACATATTCTCCCCCCCCTCTCTCACTCTCTCGCTCGCTCGCTCTCCGCAAATGCGGAGATTGCAGAATTGCGAATACACGCGCGGGCAATTTATAATCTCTAATTTTACGCAAGATGCACACATATAATAAAAAATCAAAGAATGAAGCATATTCGATTTTCATCATAATTTACTCGCTTGATTACGAATTACGGCACGCAGATTTCGGGGCAGTAATATTTGCGCCGATTTTACGCATCGTATATTTCAGTTATCGCAGATTCATTTCCGCAGATTCATTTCCGTTCGGTGAAACGAAATACTTTTACAAAAATAAAAAAAATGAAATAAAATAAAGGAAAAAAAAGGGAAAAAATTGCAGCCGGCGAATCAAAATTCAATTTCGAGATATTTCGGGATGAAATCACGGCAACGTAAATGTACGCGGGCGAGCGACAACGAGAAAATTATCGCGGGTGTAATCGTGGCTCTCTCACTTTCCCCGTTTTACGCAGTCTTCTCCAAGACGTGTCGAACACCACGGCGGACGTTTGCGACAGCAGCGTCGGCAAACGGAAACTGGTTGTCACGTGGGGCCAGTCGGTGCACCTGGGGTGCTTCGTGAAGATGCCGGAGGTGCTGGCGAACCAAGAGGTACGGTGGTACCACTACAGCAAAGAGAAGGGAAGGTACCAGATCGCGTACAAGTACGGCGCCGGCGGCGACAAATTCATCGAGACCTCGGAAAAGGGTCTGGTGATTGTCGGCGTGAACGAGCAGGACGCCGGTAGATACGACTGCTGGCTCGGCGGTGCCCTCCTGTGCTCGTACAACATCACCGTGGACGCGCACAGATGTTCGGCGCCCGCCAAGTCCAACGACTACCAGAAGATTTATTCGGACTGGTGTCACGAGTTCGAGAAGTACAAGTCGGCGATGAAGAGTTGGGAAAGAAAGCAAGCGGTAAGTCGAGTCGTCCTTGCACTCCTCCCCCGTATCGGTTTATAGCGTCGACGCCGACGCTGATATTCCTCCGGATGCCGGGAGCATTTTTATACGCGGGCGAAATAACGTTGCCAGTATATCTCAGATATTCATATCGCCGTTCGTCATATATGTACGTATAGGATCGTCATAAACCGTAATCGAGCCGTTCAAAATTTGCATTGCAAAGCGATGTACAATTCAGCGGATTCTACGTATATTCATATCTTTATATGCATCGGAACGGATGGACGGAAATTAAATATTTATCACGAAATTGCGCGATGCAGAGGTAGAGTTTATTGTGGGAAAATACACCCACGGGCGTATAGCCCGTAAATCGATAATGTGTATCGATAAATATAATTGCGTTTGATAGCAGCAAATGAGAATTACTCTGTGATTGTTCAAAATCGTTCGTGATCTTTTATGTATTACGTAACGACAACTCTTAACGCGTATCGAAATACAATTTACCGGGCAAAATTATTAATGTGACTAGTCCATTTTACGTTCGCTGTATATAAATATTCACGCTCGTATTAAGGCGATCGTTAATACTTAATCATATAATATATCATAATGGATTCATAATAATCTCTCGTAATCTACACGGACGTGCTGTAAAATCGCTTTGTGATCGCCAGTGATATTTATATTTATTTACGGTTTCGCGGGCAGATTTCGCGCGGCGATCATCGACGTCCAATTTCGTACACGTGATACGCTGTGCGCGAGACAACGCTCGATACATCGGGCCATCGAGTTGTGCGACAACCCCCTTCACAGCCCCGACGCGCCTGTTTTCTCTGTTGCAGCAATGCGCCTCGAGGCAAAACGACAGCAATCAGAATCTACACACGAACGAGGTGTACGGCACGCCCCTCGTCTGATGGAGCCGATCGTTGGGTCCCGCGTCGAGCCGAGATTACGACGACACGATGATACGCATAAGCGTCCCGCCGAGGAATCGCGGCTGGACCACGACCGGTTGGATCGGCCTGGCCTTCTTCTTGGCCGGTCACGCCACCGCGCTCGGCCCGCTGGTCGCTCGAGGACTCTTTAGTGACTGAGGCCGAGCCGCGATTACGCGGAAAAAAAATCTAAGAGGTGCGAAGAACGCACGCGTCATCGATCGTGCGTACCGCCATCCACGTGCCACGGTGCCCGAGAGCCTTTCGTCGGCGCTACCGATCGCGAGTGACCATCGAGTTTATTGGCGGTCGGTGACCCGCGAGAATATTCCAGTTCCGTATTCGTCGTGCACTCGACTTTCCGTTACATACATACATATATATATATACATATATATTTCGTACTCGCTTCGCTGTAAATAGACGTGTCGCGCGCGAGCCGCGAAATTGAGATCGAACGCTGGATGCCGCGAAGAAACCACGAGAGCGCGGAACAGCGGGGCCGATTCCTCGGTCTGTAAATTCCGATGTGGATGCGCAACCGCGCGGAGTGGTGTTTCTCGGGGTGAACGGACGATACCTTTTGTGCCGAAGAAACGTGGACGAAGAAGTTCCGATTCCTCTCGCGTCTGCGACCGGTCGGGTGCTGGATGAGAGCTGAATGGGGAAAACGCGCGCAGCTTCCCCATTCCTTCAACGTTTAATTAATTCGCGAGACGGGGAAGAAATTTTACGTGTACATACGATATCGGAGCCTCATCTACGGAAGACAACGCAACGCTGATCGCGACTGAGATATCAATGATCAGTGCGCAACTGAGCGGCGCGTCGGAGGGAGGGAAGGCGCGTTCTCCTCTCCAGCTGTTTTCGCATCCGCGACAGGAGCCGACGAGAGGAGTCGAGGTGGAGCTTCCCCGACAATCGAGGGTGGGCAGCATCGATTGGAGAACACGCGGTCGCCGCGGCGAACGGCTCGCACCCGCGAGGCCGGGAGGAAGTCGGCGGCGTCGCTCGAGGAAAGAGAGGTAAAACGTCGCGCCGGGAGGGAGAAAGGAAAAACGAAACGTGGCCAACGGCGCGTTTACGACGTCACGCAGGTTACATATGAGATTATTATCGGCTTTAGAGACTTTCGTGCGAGAACCGCCGCGCTGCTGCACTCGCGCGACGCTGGTTAGCTTTCCATATCACGTTCGCCACTTTTGCGGCGCGCACACGCCTATTTTCTACCTACACACCCCTCAGACAGGCCCTTCTCCCCCCCCCCCCAACCCCTCCCCTCCTGCCCTTCCGCGCCACCGCGTTTTCCTTCATTTTTCCCTTCATATATCGCATCTCGACGATCGCGCGCGAGCTACCGCCCGCTATCTTTTGTTTGCGGGAACCTTCGTGCCGTTCTGATCATCGACCATTATTCTTCGCGCGCCCACCTGAGACGCACCGCGGAACGAGCGCCGGATGACGCCGCGCTTTTGACCCGTGCACATTTCGCATTGTGTATCGATAAAAGCGCGTCGCGCCGGCGTGTCGTGTCGCAACGTGCCGCCGCGCGGCAACCCTCGAAAAACCGTGTCGCGCCCCAGTTCGCGGGGAACCACCTCGAGAGTACCTGCACGACGCGTCATCATCGTCGAGAGCCGAGAACCCCCCACCCCCCTTTCTCCCGTTCCACCCTTCAAATCAAGGTGCTACGCGGGTCTATTTCCTCCCGGAGGAATCCCGTGCTCTCAGATCCATACGTGCATTCCCTTCTCGAGCCCGTCTCCTTTCTTCTTCTTCTTCTTCTTTTTTTCCCTTATCCGATTCTTTCCTCAACGGACAAACACGAGAAACGCGTTAACGCGCCTAACGGCGATCGTTATGTTACGCGCCCGTGCTCTGCACTGTACATAATACCGGACCTAGGAGTCACGTGTACACATTTTCCGCTTAGATAAGTCTAATATTAGCGTAGGAGATATACATGTTTGCTTATAAGTTTTCGATGAACACAGCCGGAGAGATCTCTCGTTGCATCCCGCGGTATCGCCGAGTAAACCGGAGTAACGACCGCCAACAAAGCTGAACGCCGGTGCTGGGGCACGTCGAGGCGGGCGATCGTTTCGACGACTTCCGGACTCGAGACTGCGCGGGCTATCGGAGCCAGCGTTGCGTGTTTTTTTTCTTCTTTCATTCGCGCTTCGACACGGAAAAACCTACGCCCGGCGCGTCCGCCGTGAATTTGACTTCGCTCGAGAAGCATTTGGAGCCTCGGCACGTGCCGGTTACGCTTGGTTCATCTCAAGACGTTAAGCAGATCGATCGTTATCCTTTCTTTTTCTCTCGCTACTGCTAGCTTTCGTTAAAAACTTAATTTTCCACATCGCTCGAGAAAGCTTTTTCGGACGTGAGAACTGGCGACTTGGTGATTATCTGTACATAGATAATAGCGTTATATTTTTATAAAAACGACAGAGAAGACTCGCTGCTAAAAGCAACGGCATGGTTTTAATCTATTGTCTTTCTTTATTTCGTTCATTCGCAGTCAAGTTCATTGCAAACCGCGTCTCAAGCGAAAGTTCTTTCATTTCCAAACGGATGTTTTTTTCACGCGGAGAACGATAGAAATCCTGAAATTCTGCGCTCGAATCACGTTTCGTCGCCAACATCACAAATGCATACGTCCTCGTTTAGCAATCGTCCATAAAAATATGATGCAGACTATAGTGGAAATAGCGATCGCGTTAGCGTCCGTCCGACTTTCCCTCGGAGATCTCGACACACATTTTATAATCAGCTCGACAACAAGTATTCGCCGGTGCTCATTTAGCGCGGCTTGTCGAACGATCGACGTATCGAAATAGCACCCAGCTAGCCATACAGCACACATACACGTAAGTTATAAAGAGCAGTAGAGGAGGTCATGACGCCTTTCTGTACACGGATTTCGGTTCCCCCGCATAGTCGGTCGCCTCTCGGCGAGAGTTTCATTTTCACTCCTAAGTTTGTACATAGACACTTCTATCGTATTATCCACGGTACCCCCTCGATAGTACAGCAGCGCGAAGATGCCCGATCGAGCCTCGGCGCGCGCGCGCGCGCGCGCGGCTGTTATTGACTTCTGTACAGAGATCGTCGCGATTGGCGATTTACCTTTTGTACCTATAAGGCTCAACCTATACGAGATGGTACGCGATAAGAGAGGGAGGGACTCCGATAAGGGAGCCGCTGAAGAAGCCCGGGAGACCGGGACAGCGGGGTTGTACCTAAGCGAGACCTAGGCGGACGTAAGAGAGTAATACAATAATCGGTAATCTCTAATCCTCGAGTATGTACTTATTATGAGCTTCAACAAGTATTGAATAGTATTATGACGTAGGATTAAGGCCGAACACACGTTAGGGATAAAATCGAAAGCCGCGGATCGGCGAGGATCCGCCGCGCCTCGAAACTTTCTCGTCGCTCCTCAGGGCGGATTCTCGCGCACGACCCTCGCGATCCCCACGAGGAGTTTCGGGCCGCTCCTCGCCGATCCGCTCGGTCCACTCGTATCTACAAATCATCCTTAAATTCCTCCAGCCATCAACCGACGTCCCGGATCGTAACTAGATCGCAGACGCGTCTGGATATAGCGAGGAGCTAAGAAAAAGGAAAGGGTCGAGAGAATGTTATGTACGCGTGCGTGAGTGCGTGAGTGCGTGCGTGCGTGCGTGTAATTGCGTGGTGTCACGGATTGATACGTAAAGAATAGTAACTTACCTATCGTATATTTAAAGAAAGTTATAAAAAGAGTAAAAGCAAACGTAATATTACGATAGAATAGTAAAGTACACGAACTTTGGCTAAGAGCGCCTTCGTGCAGTCCTCGCGGACCGCGTTGACTGCGCGTTTACGGGAGAGAGGGTGAGTGAGCAGATCGATCCTGGATGATGGTCTTTGTTCTGCCGGATGCGAACAAGTGCGTGCCCGATGCGAGTGCACGAGGGCGCGCTTCGGGTTGGAGTAGGCGTGATCACGGAAAGCAATCTAAGTTGAACTTAAAGTTGTTAGATATATTATTTGTAAGATTACTGTATGTTGCGTGAATGCGATTGATGCGGCGGGATATCGCGAGCGGAACGATCGATCGGCGACGTGGAGCGAAGGTAGTCTGCCCGGCCAGCGAGGCAAAGTAGTTTCGTCGCTGTTCGTCGAGACGTGAGCTCGATACGCATCCGAACGAGAGAAAATAAACCTCGAAGACACACACCCACACACACACACACACAAAACACTGCCTGCGAAATCCTAATCGATTATCCCGCAACGTCGACCGCGAGGGCGAGATAGACTATAGACTCGGTTTAATGTATGCGATACGAGACGATTTTGGGTGACAGGCCCTACTCGTGGTTACTCGTGTAAGGGAAAACGCAAAGGGGGAAGGGACGCCCTAACTGAATAATTAGTTACACTACTATGATAGGAGGAGTGGGAGGGAAGGATAGACCCGCGCGATAACGATTTATTAAAATATATCACTAGGACTAGCCGACGACTGTCTTAGGTTTCAAGTATCGGAAGCGTAGACTCGTTTCTCGAGTGGTGTAGCGAAGGGGACGGAATGGAACGGGGAGGGATTTGCTACACGTGGCGCTGCGTGTGCCCTTTACTTATTTTTTTTTATCTCTCCCAAGATTACGGAAAAGCGGGAATGATCCGTTGACCGATTTCCTCTTAATTTCGCCCGCCTTTCTTTCCGCTCTCGTGTCACCGGCTCCGTTTTTCCCCCGTGACCGTTTTTCTTTTCCTCCCCCTTTTTTTTTCTCACGGATATATCTTGCCTTAAAGCAGAAAATTGGAGCGAACTCGCGCGAGATTAATAGTCCATTCGTATCGTGGAAAACTCATCCTTCATCATCGCCGTATTTTTCTTCGTTCTTTCGCCGTTCGTTTCTTTTTTGCATTCTGCTCGTTCCTGTCGACAGCAGAGCGATCAAGGGTGGAAATTAGGGCCGGGCGGTAGCGCGCCGTGAGTCGTTTTGAAGCTCGTAGGAGCCGATATACCGCTTAGGGGAATTCAATTTAGCCGCACGGCGTAAGGGACGGGCCCGGCACCGCTCGAGGTAACGCCACCGTACTTGGGCGTGCATCGGGCGCATCGGCAGTTTTGTTTATCGAACGTAATCGTGAATATCGATCTTTCTGCAAGCGCCCTGCCAAACGGAACGTTTGCCGGCACCGGGGGCGATATGTTTATCGATTAAATCCAATTCGGCCACACGCGTCGCTCTGCGCTTGTCCGGCGAGAGGCACCGGTTCTTTCCGGTCAGGGCGCGACAGTGACTTTTTCGGAATGCCGCGAGCAAAGCACGCGGGGAAATCAGTTTTATCCTGGGTGGTAGAATCAAGTCTTATCTTCTGTATCGTCCTGTAAATCTCCGCAGCCGTTTGAATTGAGAACGAGAGCGCCCAACTTTCATCCGCGTTGCGCGCGATCGCATGCGACACACGATCGATCGATTCACGGTACGCGCCGCCAAAAAATTCAGACTTAACGACACGTATGTGCGATTATCATCGTTAATAACACGACCGTAGGTAATTTTTAGTTGAAAGAATTTCGTACGATAAGAGACCCTTTTAGATATTCACCTATTACCTAAACCTAAACATCCAATCGCTATTTTTATCAAAAAAAAACATGTTAAAAATCTTTAATAGTTATCCATTGTTCACTATTGCTATAATAAAGTTTTGCTTTAATAAATGATTGATCTGTGTGCGTTATTAATTTACACCTACGTCCCACAAAACTGCGGCAGACGCATTATAAATCATAATCAGTGCCTCAAAGATAGACACTTGGTGTATACAGTCTTTTTTTTATTCAAAAGATAGGCTACTTATAGACTTCTTCGCGCAAGCCTTCAGATAATGGAGGAAGGACACCGAGAAATGGACGTGCAGAGGCCGCAGGTAAGTCCAATTCCCGTAGACAACTGATCGCGGATGCCTTCCGGTTCGTCGACGCCCTCGGCGACGGAGGGCGGCATAAAATTTGCGACCCCGTGACGCGCAAAATGCAATCAGCGGACCGCGAGGAAAAGGATTGAACGTCGCCCGGGGCGACGGCGAACGACGTGCTCTAGAAGCGCGTCTCTCCCCGGTCGTATCGTCCGCCCGATCGATGGAACAACCTCAATGCCTCGGCGTATATTCTTCGTTTGAATAATTACGCGCGATTACGGACACATACGTAGCGGGCTATAGACCCCTAGA